CACAGCCGTCGTGCGCGCTCCGATCAGACGAGGAAAGAGCCACGAGCGAAGCCGAGAGGAAACAAAAAGAAGAGGAGGAAGGATCCTCCGGACGCTTCGCTCCGCTGCTCCGCCTCGACCTGCTCCACGGATCCGCGTCAGACGACCTGAGATCCCCTCACTCTGTCACGCTGCCCCGCCATGTCTGCTCCTCAACATTTTCTCTCCCCCTCCCTGTCCTCTCCATTTCCACCACCTCATCTGATCCCCGCGCTCCCACACGTCAAGCACAGAGAGGAAGAGACGCCGGGTTTCCGGAGGAGATTTTCAAAATAAAATGTGAACTAATGATTGAACGTCCTGCAGAGGGTTAAACTAAATGTTATATAAAAACAGTGGTCAGGAAAAGTGTTGAGCCATAGAGGACATTTAATTTGTTTTGCACGGTATTGTGTTGTATGTGCCATACTTAACTTTAAGGCCCAGTGTTTAAGATTTAGGTGAAAGGGATCTACTGGCAGAAATTGAATATAACTTAATCCTAGTGATGTTCTCACCTGTGTGTTTCATCTAAATTGTACGACTTGTTGTTTCTTTAGCCTAGATTTGTCCCCCTTTTTTTATTTGGAAGGGGAGGGTGAGGTGAGGGGTGTTCAGCTGCAACATGCAAATCCACCACAAAATTATACACACTGAACCTTTAGGCTGCCACATATGTATATCATTTAGTTGTTGTTGTATTTGTGTTATGCATGTAGTTCTTCACACGTCCCTATTTCAGTTCATTTGCATTTTATTTTTAAAATCCAACCGAATCGACTTCCAGTTTTTTATATATATGTCCGCACAGTGAGCTTGACTTGTCCCCGGCTTGTTGTTTTGAACTCGTGTGGTAATTCATCCACTGTGCAGGTGACTGGGTCCATCATGTCCTCTGGGTCCATCATGTCCTGGAGGCCCAGCACACTTTCTATAAACCACCCAGCCCGTGACACCTCACACCGGGTCCATGACGCACAGGTGAGCCGCTGGTGTGGAGCAGGTTGGTTAATCTCACTCTCTGTGCAGCTTTAAGAACAACACGGGGTTTGAATGAGCAGCCACCGTGTCTGTGTTCAGACAGTGGATCAGGAACAGGCTCTCTCCTTCCTTTATTTATTTATTTATTTATTTACGTGTGTCTGGCTCTGGGCTGCTTGTCCTCACACGGCCCCGGCGCACAGGCAGCTAAAGGCCGTGACGCAGAGACACGTGCCGGATGAACGAGCCAGCGGCGCATGCTGTGAACTGATGACGCTCTGGTACGATCCGACTCTCTGTGATCGGCTTGTGTGATGCGACGGAGCCGAGTCCAACCCGAGAGCTGTCACCCTCCTCTTCATACAGGCTGGGACTGAGCAAGACATCCAGGCTTCCACTGTTTTCCAGTTTAAACCATAGACTGTATACAAACATGGAAGACAGCTCCTCAAAAGTGAAGCCAAATAAACATGTCCCCCTGGTGGCTGGCTGCAGTATTGGTCATAAAACCCTCCTCCTCCATGTTCGTGGATCATTGAACATGGACCAAAGGCCTTAGTGCTGTTGAGGATTTGAAGAGCAGAAAAAAGATTACGCCCAAATGCATCAGTAGATGGTGTTTCACCTATAGGTGGCACTATAGCTACATGATACATATTTTTGGCTTAGACTGTTTATAAAGATGGATGACATGACAGCTCCTCAAAAGTGAAGCCAAAAAAACATGATCCCCTAGTGGCTGGCTGCAGCATTGGTAATATTTATTGTAATCTTTTATTTAATGTTTTATTTAATTGTTTATATTTGCTGCTGGATAAACTGGATATAAAAATGGATCACATGAAAGTGACAGTCGAAGTGTTTTAATCGCCTCCTGGTGGCTGACTTCAGAATAGATCAGAAATCCTTCTTCCTCCAATTTCGTGAACGAGACATGGACCAAACAATATTTCTGTCAAAGATCTCACTCATGCTTCTAATAACTCTTATTTTGAAAAAGCTTATTTTTAATTAGTTATTTTAACCTATTAAAACAAGTTGAAACGTCACTATTGACAGCTGAGACTGACTTGCAATTGGTCGAGTAGGTGTGTCGGTGGGACCTCAACAAAGTGCCTCCATTCCCGGATCACTACTGCACAGACTCTGGCTCCAAAAGTGCAAGATTGCAACATTTCTATCTCAAGATATTTAGGCTTCATCCATTTATATATAGTACAGTCTATGTTGGTTGTGATCATCCCTCTTTTAAAATGCACTTTAAAAATAACCTGAGCCATAAGGTCCAGCTCCCCTCACAGATCCATATATCCCATCACCACTGTGGACATGGTGGTCCACTCTTACAGCCTCACACTCCGACGATAATTCTCCTGTAGCCTGCAGTCTGAAACAAACCCTAATTTAAAATCCACAGTCACGACTGCTGAGCATTTCCACGTTAGGCAGCTGCTCGATGAATGGATTCTATTATAATGCAGTGAAATAAGGTCACTGAGCCAGCAGGAGGAAATCACAGAGAAATGGCACAACCGCAGTTCAGAGTGTCCGTATCTGTGTAGTGTGGCTTGTCAGACTTGATGTGGATTGATTTTAAACTTGATTTACTATCTGCTTTATAGGATCAATCAAGGCAGCAAGGGATGGATTTATTAATTTAAATTAATTAACTAATTAATTCAAGTAAAGGACAACAGAGTAAATAAATAATTATCCAGGCAAATAAAAAACAAATTTAATCTGGTTCTGGATTAGTATGAAAAATGAATTTCATAAAATCAAAGAAAACCTGGATGCTATTGACCTGAGGCTCGTTGTGTCCTGAAGTGCCTCCTCATTGGTTGTTCTCTGTTGCTATGGTACCAGACATCGGATGCTGAAGTTGCATGTGCGACTTCTGTGGTGATGCAGGAGGA